ATGTGAATACTTAGACACCAACATGTCCCTAGTAAGCCTCTAGTTGACTAGCTCGTTGATCAATAGATAGTCATGGTTTCCTGACTATGGACATTGGATGTCATTGATAATGAGATCACATCATTAGGAGAATGATGTGATGGACAAGACCCAGTCCTAAACATAGCACAAGATCGTATAGTTCGTTTGCTAGAGTTTTCCAATGTCAAGTATCTTTTCCTTAGACCATGAGATCGTGTAACTCCCGGATACCGTAGGAGTGCTTTGGGTGTACCAAACGTCACAACGTAACTGGGTGACTATAAAGGTATACTACGGGTATCTCCGAAAGTGTCTGTTGGGTTGACACGGGTCAAGACTGGGATTTGTCACTCCATATGACGGAGAGGTATCTCTGGGCCCACTCAGTAATGCATCATCATAATGAGCTCAAAGTGACCAAGTGTCTGGTCACGGGATCATGCATTACAGTACGAGTAAAGTGACTTGCCGGTAACGAGATTGAACGAGGTATTGGGATACCGACGATCGAATCTCGGGCAAGTAACGTACCGATTGACAAAGGGAATTGTATACGGGGTTTCTTGAATCCTCGACATCGTGGTTCATCTAATGAGATCATCGAGGAGCATGTGGGAGCCAACATGGGTATCCAGATCCCGCTGTTGGTTATTGACCGGAGAGCCTTCTCGGTCATGTCTACATGTCTCCCGAACCCGTAGGGTCTACACACTTAAGGTTCGGTGACGCTAGGGTTGTTAGGAAGACTTGTATGTGATTACCGAATGTTGTTCGGAGTCCCGAATGAGATCTCGGACGTCACGAGGAGTTCCGGAATGGTCCGGAGGTAAAGATTTATATATGGGAAGTTGTCATACGGTCGCCGGAAAGGTTCGGGGGCATATCGGTATTGTACCGGGGCCACCGGAGGGGTTCCGAGGGTCCACCGAGAGGGGCCACCTCTTCCGGGGGGCCTTATGGGCTGTATGGAGAAGGGAACCAGCCCAAGTGGGCTGGGACGCCACAACCCCTAGGGCCCATGCGCCTAGGGTTGGGGGGAAACCCTAAGGGGGGCGCCCCCTTGCTTGGGGGCAAGCCCCCCTCCCCTTGGTCGCCGCCCCCCTTCTAGATCCCATCTAGAGGGGCCCGGACCCCTTCCCCCTTCCCCTATAAATAGAGGAGTGAGGGGAGGGCTGCACACAAGATCCAAGGCGCAGCCCCTCCCCTCCCCAACACCTCTCCTCCTCCGTCACAAGCTTGGCGAAGCCCTACCGGAGTACTGCTGCTCCACCACCACCATGCCATCGTGCTGCTGCTGGAGCCATCTTCCTCAACCTCTCCTTCCCCCTTAGTGGATCAAGAAGGAGGAGACATCACGCTGACCGTACGTGTGTTGAACGCGGAGGTGCCGTCCGTTTGGCGCTAGGATCTCCGGTGATTTGGATCACGTCGAGTACGACTTCCTCATCCCCGTTCTTTGAACGCTTCCGCGCGTGATCTATAAAGGTATGTAGATGTAATCCGATCACTCGTTGCTAGATGAACTCATAGATGGATTTTGGTGAAACCGTAGGAAATTTTTTGTTTTCTGCAACGTTCCCCAACAACCTTTTCCTTGCTCTAATGGGTATACACATATTTTGGTTGCTATTGATTATGTTACTAAATGGGTAGAAGATATTCCAACTAGTAGTGCTGATCACAACACCTCTATTAAAAATTTAAAATGATTAAGGAAGTTATTTTCCCAAGGTTTGGAGTCCCTAGATATTTAATGACTGACGGTGGTTCACATTTATCCATGGTGCTTTCCGTAAAATGCTTGCCAAGTATGATGTTAACCATTGAATTGCATCACCCTATCATCCTCAGTCTAGTGGTCAAGTTGAACTTAGTAATAGAGAAATAAAATTAATTTTGCAAAAGACTGTCAATAGGTCCAGGAAAAATTGGTCTAAGAAATTAGATGATGCACTTTGGGCTTATAGAACAGCATATAAAAATCCTATGGGTATGTCTCCTTATAAAATGGTTTATGGAAAAGCTTGTCATTTGTCTCTTGAGTTAGAACATAAAGCATATTGGGGAGTTAAAGAAATTAATTATGATTTCAAACTTGCTGGTGAAAAGAGATTATTTGACATAAGCTCATTAGATGAATGGAGAACCCAGGCCTATGAAAATGCAAAATTATTTAAAGAAAATTTTAAAAGATGGCATGACTAAAGAATTAAAAAATATGAGTTTAAAGTTGGAGAATATGTTCTTTTGTACAACTCTCGTTTTAGATTTTTTGTAGGAAAGCTCCTCTCGAAATGGAAAGGACCATATGTCATCAAAGAGGTTGACCTATCTAGAGCCATCAAAATAAATAATTTCGAAGGCACTAACCAGAAAGGTTGTCAATGGGCAACGAATAAAGCATTATATCTCAGCTACGCCTATTAATGTCGAAAGTAATATTATTCAAACCTTGACACCGAAAGAACACATAAAAGAGTCCTTCTGGAACACTCCAGAATTGTGAAAATAAGGAGGCCCGTGATACGTAAGTAAACGGACTCCGAAAAATTTGCAAAAATATTTTTTTATCAGTTTGAAATATTTTAAAATTTTGGAAATAAAGGAACCACCAGGGACACCTCCCGTGCTCCGTTTTTCTTCCATATACTTTGAGAGTTTGCTTAGTGATCTATCCTTGAAATTGTGTGCAACTTATATAATAAAATTAGTTTTAGTTTTGCTTTCTTTATTTTCATGTTGCAAATGAAGAAAAAAATTAAGGAAGAAAGAAAAAAACAAATGAAATAAATGAACAAAGGAAATAAATAATGAAAAGATTATATACTAATCCTATGGTAGGTGATGGCGCCACATAAGGAAAAGTATAGGTAGAAAATTTTATTAGAGATTGACAAACATAGCATTAGTCAATGATGCAACTCATGGAAGAATTAATAAGGGAAGAGAAGATTCACATATAGATATACTACCATCTTTTGTGATTGTGAGCCCTCATCAAAATATTATATGTCAAAATTGTTGACGTTGGGCAAGGAAGACAACTTAATAGTTTATGTTTGTTTATATTCACAAAGAAGTCATATTGTCATAGATTCTTTAACATGTGGTGCTTGGCCCCTATCTTTGCTAGCCAAAAATTCTGTACTAAGTAGATATACTACTTGTGCATACAAAAACCCTTAAACCCAAATCTTTTTCAAGTGTCTGATAACCCACAAGTATAGGGGATCAATTGTAGCCTTTTCGATAAGTAAGAGTGTCGAACCCAACGAGGAGCTAAAGGTAGAACACATATTCCCTCAAGTTCTATCGACCACCGATAAAACTCTACGCACGCTTGACGTTTGTCTTACCGGAAACAAGTATGAAACTATTTTGCAAGGATTAAACTACGAGTACTTTGCGAGATTAAAACTACAGATAAATTGTAAGGTAATAAAAGTGAAAAGCTTTTGGCAATAAGAAAGTTATTTGGCCCTAGAAAACCGATAACAAGTATCGGTAATCATTCTTGTAACTTTATATGAGGGAGAGGCATTAGCTAACATACTTTTTCTACTTGGATCATATGCACTTATGATTGAAACTCTAGCAAGCATCCGCAACTACTAAAGATCATTAAGGTCGTGAAACCAACCATAGCATTAAGTATCAAGTCCTCTTTGTTCACATACGTCATACTCTACCTACTCGGATTTAAGTTTCTGTCACTCTCGCAACCCACCGTAAGCGAACCATACACATATTGCAACACCTTACAACGGGGGGCCCTCACATTTGCACGAGAACGGAAGGCACGGTAGGACAACACCATAAATAAAATATACAATCATACTCCCTCCGTCCGGAAAAAGTTGTCAAGCGCACAATGTATTATCTTTTTGCAAAAAAACCTCAAAATATTAAACCCGTCATGATTCAGCCCATCTCCTTCCTTCCTCGCCCATCTCCTTCCTTCCTCTCCCCCGTCGTCTGCGCCTTACAGCCACCGTCGGTCGCGCGTCGCCATCCACCTTCTGGCCCAGCACGCGACCAACACCAGCGCCGCCGCCCGCCTAGCCCTGCGCCGCAGCTTCCCACCTGCGCCACTCGGCACAAAATCGACCTGCACCGCCGCCCGCTCGGAGTTGCGCCGCCGTTGCCTGCCTGTACCCACACCGCCGCCCGCCTGGTGATGTTCCATGTCCACGTGGTGGAATCTCCCCAACACTTGCGCCACTCACCTTCGCCGCCCACGGCCGCCCACCTGCGGCTCGACTTCGTCCGCTTCGGCCGCCGGCGCCGTGGAAAATTCCGGCCACTCCCGCATCCCATGTTGTTTCTGCTAGTGGTCAACGTTGTCGCCGTGGACCTTTCGTGTTGCTGTTGCCTTTGTCCCCTGCCCCGCCTCTGCTGGTGCTGTTGCTTGTGAGTTTGCCCCGCCCGCCTCTATTGCTGCTGCTCTGTTCACAATCAGCACATGATAGAAATAGAATTGGCACTTGATTTGTTCGCGATTTGAATTGAATTGAGTAGGCCAAGGGGAAATTGAAATTCCAAAACAAAACTTGGAGAGCAACAACACATGTTCAGGGTTGTTCACAATCAGGTTCAGGGTGAATTGGCACTTGATTTGTTCACAATCAGGTTCAGGGTTGACAGATTCAGGTTCAGGGTTTGTTTCAGTTTATAGAAATGGCTACAAGTGTTTTTTCTGTACCCCATCATTGAAATTTTTTGGTTAGGAAGAATTGTCTTATTGCTGCTTGCTGCAAAAAGAAAGAAAGAAACAATGTTTATGTACACTGATTCTCTATATCAAGTTCATGTTCATTTAAAAAAAAATCAGTAGTTCAGTTAACCACTAACTTACTAAAAACCTTCAGCACTTCATTTCTTCTTCTGAATAAACATGACCTACAAAAAAAATTGCAAGCAATTGTACATTCAAATTTACATCAAAGTACATATTCAGAGTTAAACTGAATTTACTACATTCAGTCAAGCTTAACTAAATTTGAGCTTGCAGCATTCGAAATGCTCAAGCCCACGTCCTCCCAGTGTGCATATATGCTGGTTATGGAGATCTGCACAAGATATGATTGCACACATTAGAACTTTGAAAAATCTTGTGCATCATCTGTAACAAGCAAGCCATGGATAGTAAGGCCGAAACATGCTCAGATTGTGTTAGCTAGAACCACAGGAAATCATCCGATTGTCTGAATCCCAAAATGCCGAGAGAATGAACTCACCTCGTCAAGATTTGCAGCGTTGGCAATTTCATCCACGGTGAGGTAACGCACGGCCAGGTCGTAGACGCTACCGGCGGCGGAGCTGGAGGGCGCCTCGTCGTCCATGCTGACGGGGTGGGCATAGAAGCTCCTGCCTCGCGAGGAGGCCCCGCTTGGTGCCCCTGCGGCCGGGAAGCCCTCGCCGACACGCCACGCCGAGGGGCAAGTAGAGAGCATCAGGAGAAGGGGCGAGACGCCGCCACCGACGCTGCGGTGGCCTACAGTCATGTAGGGGGAGCAGAGCGACAAGGCTGGGGGCGAGGATAGCAAGAGGCAGCGGAGAGGGGCGCGCGCCAGCGTCAGCATCTTGGCGGCAGCGGCGGCTCAGTCGCCAAGATCCGTGGTCATCCTCCCCGCGTCGTTGACTTCTACATCATCCGCTCGAAGTCTGGAGGAGGAGGTGGTGGATGACGAGCTTGAGGACCTGCCATGCCTCCAGATCAAGCTCGAGGACATGAGCGCCATCGTCGGAGTCGATAAGTCGAGGGATTTGCCGAAAAGGGGATCCGTTTCCTCTTTATCTTCTGGTGCTGATGAAGAGAAGCGGCGAGACAAGGCGGAAAAGGCGGACGACGTGTGTTGACGCGACGGAGGAAGTGGCGTGGCAACGGAGTAGGCGGCGAGGCGGTAGAGCAGGCAGCCGGCGTTGGCGGACGCAGTAATTTCAAAAAAAATTCTACGCACACGCAAGATCATGGTGATGCATAGCAACGAGAGGGGAGAGTATCGTCTACGTACCCTCGTAGACCATAAGAGGAAGCATTATGACAACGCGGTTGATGTAGTCGTACGTCTTCACGATTGACCGATCTAGCACCGAAGGTACGACACCTCCGTGATCTGCACACGTTCAGCTCGGTGATGTCCCACGAACTCACGATCTAGTAGAGCTTCGAGGGAGAGTTTCGTCGGCACGACGGCGTGGCGGTGATAATGTTGTTACCGAAACAGGGCTTCGCCTAAGCACCACTACGATATTACCGAGGTGGATTATGGTGGGGGCACCGCACATGTCTAAAAGATCAATGATCAACATGTGTGTCCATGGGGTGCCCCTCCCCCGTATATAAAGGAGTGAAGGAGGCGGAGGGGCCGACCTCTCTAGGCGCGCCCAAGGGAGTCCTACTTCCACCGGGAGTAGGATTCCCCCTTTTCCCTTTGTTGGCATTAGAAGAGAAGGAAGGAGAGGGAAGGAAGGAAAGGGGGGCCGGCCCCCCTTCCCAATTCACATTGGGCTTGGAGGGGGTGCCCTCTCCTTTGCTTCTTCCCCCTCTTTTCGACTAAGGCCCAATAAGGCCCATATACCTCATGGGGGGTTCCAGTAACCTCTCGTCGCTCCGGTATACTCTCGTTTTCACCCGGAACCATTTCGATGTTCAAACATAGGCTTTCAATATATCGATATTTACGTCTCGACCATTTCGAGACTCCTCGTCATGTCCGTGATCAAATCCGGGACTCCAAACTACCTTCGCTACATCAAAACACATAAACTCTTAATACCGATCATCATAGAACGTTAAGCGTGCGGACCCTACAGGTTCGAGAACTATGTAGACATGACCGAGACATGTCTCCGGTCAATAACCAATCGCGCAACCTGCATGCTCATATTGGTTCCTACATATTCTACAAAGATCTTTATCGGTCAAACCGCATAACGGTATACATTGTTCCCTTTGTCATCGGTATGTTACTTGCCCGAGATTCGATCGTCGCTATCTCAATACCTAGTTAAATCTCGTTACCGGCAAGCCTCTTTACTCGTTCGTTAATGCTACACCCCGTAACTAACTCATTAGCTACATTGCGTGCAAGGCTTATAGTGATGTACATTACCGAGAGGGCCCAGAGATACCTCTCCGACAATTGGAGTGACAAATCCTAATCTTGATCCATGCCAACTCAACAAACACCACCGGAGACACCTGTAGAGCACCTTTATAATCACCCAGTTACGTTGTGACGTTTGGTAGCACACAAAGTGTTCCTCCGGTATTCGGGAGTTGCATGATCTCATAGTCATAGGAACATGTATAGTTATGGAGAAAGCAATAGCAACAAACTAAATGATCATCGTGCTAAGCTAATGGATGGGTCAAGTCAATCACATCATTCTGTAATGATGTGATCCCATTAATCAAATGACAACTCATGTCTATGGTTAGGAAACATAACCATCATTGATTCAACGAGCTAGTCAAGTATAGGCAAACTAGTGACACTCTGTTTGTCTATGTATTCACACATGTACTAAGTTTCCGGTTAATACAATTCTAGCATGAATAATAAACATTTATCATGATATAAGGAAATATAAATAACAACTTTATTATTGCCTCTAGGGCATATTTCCTTCAGTCTCCCACTTGCACTAGAGTCAATATCTAGATTACATTGTAATGATTCTAACACCCATGGAGTCTTGGTGCTGATCATGTTTTGCTCGTGAGAGAGGCTTAGTCAACGGGTCTGCAACATTCAGATCCATATGTTTCTTGCAAATCTCTATGTCTCCCTCCTTGACTTGATCGCGGATGGAATTAAAGCGTCTCTTGATGTGCTTGGTTGTCTTGTGAAATCTGGATTCCTTCGCCAAGGCAATTTCTCCAGTATTGTCACAAAAGATTTTCATTGGACCCGATGCACTAGGTATGACACCTAGATCGGATATGAACTCCTTCATCCAGACTCCTTCATTTGCTGCTTCGGAAGCAGCTATGTATTCCGCTTCACACGTAGATCCCGCAATGAAACTTTGCTTGGAACTGCACAAACTGACAGCTCCACCATTTAATGAAAACACGTATCCGGTTTGTGACTTAGAGTCATCCGGATCAGTGTCAAAGCTTGCATCGATGTAACAGTTTACGACGAGCTCTTTGTCACCTCCATGTACGGGAAACATATCCATAGTCCTTTTCAGGTATTTCAGGATGTTCTTGACCGCTTTCCAGTGATCCACTCCTGGATTACTTTGGTACCTCCCAGCTAAACTTATAGCAAGGCACACATCAGGTTTGGTACACAACATTGCATACATGATAGAGCCTATGGCTGAAGCATAGGGAACACCTTTCATTTTCTCTCTATATTCTGCAGTGGTCGGGCATTGAGTATGATTCAACTTCACACCTTGTAACACATGCAAGAACCCTTTCTTTGCCTGATCCATTTTGAACTTCTTCAAAACTTTATCAAGGTATGTGCTTTGTGAAACTTCATGCACTTTTATGGTTGGATGCACAAAATCTTAATGCGAAAGAATGTCACTTTATATTGCCACTTGTGATATGGACCTTTATTATGCAGTCTGTCGCTTTTATTTCTTCCGTATCACACGATCATATAAAGCTTATTTCTCCCACACTAATAAGTCATACATATTTAGAGAGCAATTTTAATTGCTTGCACCGATGACAACTTACTTGGAGGATCTTACTCAATCCATAGGTAGGTATGGTGGACTCTCATGGCAAGACTGGTTTAAGGGTATTTGGAAGCACAAGTAGTATCTCTACTTGGTGAGATGAATTTGGCTAGCATGAGGGAGAAAGGCAAGCTCAACCATGTTGAATGATCCGTGACAATATAATTTATCTCAGATGTATGAAAACATAACCCATTACGTTGTCTTCCTTGTCCAATGTCAACTCTTTAGCATGTCATATTTTAATGAGTGCTCACAATCATAAAAGATGTCCAAGATAGTATATTTATATGTGAAGACCTCTCTTTCTTTATTACTTCCTATTAATTGCAACGATGACCAAAACTATGTTTGTCAACCCTCAACAACTTTTGTTCATCATGCTTTTTCTATGTGAGCTCATCACTCTCCATAAGACTCACATGATCTCTTTCTTTCTTTTTATTTCTTTCTTTTTTTCTTTTGTTCCCTTAGGATCATGGCAAAATGATCAAGCCCTTGACTCAACACTAATCTTTATTATATAGCTCACGGACTCGATTACATAGAAGGATTATAAAAAAAACTCAAAACTAGATCATGCCATAAACTTTATTCTACTAGATGAAGATAATACCAAAAGGATCGAAGTAAGGAAAACGGTAAAGATAAAGGTGATGGTGATACGATACTGGGGCACTCCCCCAAGCTTGGCAGTTGCCAAGGGGAGTGCCCATACCAGATGCTCAATTATTCTTTGTTGGTGGAGAAGGTGATGGTTTTGTTGATGGCGTAGGCTTCTTCCTTAATTTGCGCTCGAGGACATAGTTTTGGTCCCTTAGGTCATCGATCTCCTGCTCCATGCTCAGTATCTTTTTGCATAGTTCCTACTTGTTTTCCTGCAAGAGGCGAAAAGGGATAAACTCGATCTTAGGTTTCTTTACTCTATCCGGGAGGCTTGACTTTTTGAACTCCACATGCATGTCCCCAGGTTGAGGTAGTGGGACTTCATCTTCATCTGAGTTTGTCTCCTCCTTTACCTTGGGTTCATAATCCTCTTCTTCTTTCATAGTCTAACCACAATGCTCCACATCCCATAGACCTTAGGATCTGCAAGGTAATCAGCCACGTAGCTTTCTCCTTCCGAATCCTGGGACGACATGTTGCTCTATCTGCAGCAGGACAGCTCGAAACAAAGACCAGAGATATTTGTGTGATACGGTGGTCAAAACCCCCGGGATATTATATAATGAATTTTCACCAACTAAAATAAGCGTCGTGTACGAAAACAGAGTCCGAAAAGCGCACGAGGTGCCCACGAGGTAGGGGGCGCGCCCAGGGGGGTAGGGCGTGCCCTCCACCCTCATGGAGTCCTCGTGTCCTTCCCGGACTGCTTCTTATTTTTCTATTTTTCTAAATATTCCAAAACAGAGAAATATTGCCTTAAAAACTGTTTTGGAGTCGGTTTACTTACCATACCACATACATATTCCTTTTCGGAGTCTGAAACGTTTCGGAAAGTGTCCCTTATGTATTCCTCCGGGGTTACGGTTTCAATAACATTGGTTTCAACATTTATGGGATTACCTGAGATATAATGTTTGATTCTTTGACCGTTCACCACCTTCAGATTTGTGCCTTCGAAGTTGTTGATTTTTATTGCACCGGAACGATAGACCTCCTCGATAACGTAAGGGCCTTCCCATTTAGAGAGAAGTTTTCCTGCAAAAAATCTTAAACGAGAGTTGTATAGAAATACATAGTCACCTACATTAAACTCGTGCTTTTGTATCCTTTTGGCATGCCATCTTTTAACTTTTTCTTTAATCAACTTGGCATTTTCGTAGGCTTGGGTTCTCCATTCATCGAGTGAGCTAATATCAAATAACCTCTTCTC